ATATTCATGACCTCTGCTCTGACACACTGCAGCTCATCACTACTTGCTCTCCTCTTTCTCTCTCTCTCTCTCTCTAACTCACACACACACACACACACACACACACGATGTACTCTGAAATAAACACTTGCAAAATATTCATGTTAACAATCTTTTTAACTGAAGTGGTGTAGAGGGTTTTTTTTTTTTATCTAGAAGGAGTAAGTAAGATATCTCTAAGCCAATAGAGTAGCCTAATTTACGCCTGAGTTGTGTTCTGGATTACATATAGACTAAATTATAAATATACTTAACGTATTTGACCCACAGAGAAGTATTTTGAATTGCATTTTGAGGCTTTAATGTATTAAGACACATGCAGGAATCAATATTTAACCCTGCATGAACAGATGCGTTTAGGATGATTATTGGCATCCTTTCACTCCAGAAAAAAAATGACAGTAAGAATATAACTACTCTAGCCTATAATGTTGAATATAACACAGGAAGGAATGCGTGTCTAACAAAATTCTTCAGAATTATGAAGAGTTATATTGTGTTGTCATTACTGCCCTGTGCATTGAGGATTAGTTTAAAGTATATACAAAATATATCGTTTTAACAGCAGGCCTACACATAATATTACTATTGCTTTTTTGTTTTTTTTAGGGGGTGTCCACCTTTTATTGGGATAGGACAGTAGATATTACAGACATGACTGTATTGGGACCAGAGAGAGAGGAAAGGTTAGCAAAATTCCTTGAGCCAGAACTCGACCTCAGGTTACCTTGAGCACCACAGTGCTTTTGTCAGCGCACTTAACTATAAGGCTATTGTCGCCGACACTGTTGTTTTTTTTAACCATATGTTTCAGAAATAACAGTAATAATATAAACTTTATTTAGACATACAATGTCAAGCATACAATATCAATGGCCCTAATTCTTACATATTACATTATTTTTCCTTATGTGTAACCTTAAGGTTATTAACCTTAAGGTTATTAACCTTGCATAAATATTTAGATCAATGTTAGATGGGTGGGGTGGGAGGTAGGGTTTTGAATTCCTTTTTGTAGTTATCTAAATTGTACTAATATTTGTAGCAATAACAAACTGTGAGTACTTCCAAGAGAATTTTGATATATAATCCATCTCTTTCTTAGGATTTAGGCGGTACTGTGTGTATATGAAAGCGTTTTCAATGAAAATGAAGAGTTTTTTAAAAAACGTACGGTATATTAACTTTATTACAGAGCTTACATTATTTTAGTTTCCTATCTTTTTATATTAATGACATATTATGAATTATTACAACCATTTATTCAACATGTTTTTTTACACTTACAAACATTTGAGAGCATGTTGTTTTGGTCACACTTTATTTTGATGGTCCAATTTAAGTTACATTGCATCTACATGCCAACTAATTCTCATTAGATTATAAGTAGACAGTTAGGTTGGGGTTAGTGTAAGTTGATGAGTACTCGCAAAGTGCCTTATAGTCAGTTAAATGTCTGTTGAAGGAGCAGTATCAATAGATATTAAGCTGACGGTCTACTAATACTCAAATGGACCATCAAAATAAAGTGTTACCGTTGTTTTTACTATTTTACTAATACATTTCCTCATTTATTATTACTGTCAAAAATATAACTAATTTATATTCAAGCAGGCAAACTCAAAAGGCAATTTAGGCCTGCAGAAATAATTATAACATCTTTTTCCATCTGCATCACCTATTTTAAGCAAAGACTCGTGCGTAATGCAAGTTTTTAAATGATTCCCTGGCAGCCGAAATGACTGATAAAGAGCTTAAAGTGGAGATAAAATGCTTGGAAGCCTGACAGCATTGGAGCTCAGTCTCTCAGTATCAGAGTGTATTTGTGGCATGGACTGAAAGAGATATTCCCTGAACAGATTTTCCTTTCGAAGAACAGCCGCTCTTATACAGCACTTTTACAGCATCATCTATCACCTGTAGCGACTGTGATCAGAACATCCTGACATTTTCCAGGATGATTTGGTTTAACATCGACTTGCTTAAATGTCACTGCTTCTGAGAGCAAATGTATGAGTTCCAGACACCCCATCCTCTCAGAGAGGGTGTGACGAAAACACTATGAATTCAGGCAAGACAAGAGCATATTAGACACATTATAAAAACAGAGAGGGTGACATTCATATCACAACTATACGAACTATTGTATGGTTAAAGACCATTATATGGATTCAAATCAGAACAGAGATTAAGGTAAGATATATTAAATTGTAAACAAATATAAAATTAAATATTATTAGAGCTGTTGTTCTTTCATGTTTAAGATGTATTGCATGTTAATTGCAGAGCTTGCAAATATTCAATCTTATCAGGGGCTAAAGCATTGTAATTTACACACATTACAGCAAGTTTATATATTATAATGCAGAAGGAATCAACAGAAATGTCCATATTAAAATCAAACTAACATAGTTTAAATATTTTAAAAGAATGCAATGTTATGTTTGGAATTTATTAGATTTTACTTATGTGTGAATGTATTCACAATTTTTAAGCATATATGGAGTTAAAGTTTCACCTCAAAATGTTGAAAGGCATTATGGTATATATTATCTGTTTGTAAATTACAAAAAAATATATATAGATATCTAAAGATTGGCAAATTAAAAGCAACTAAATGCATCAAAAGTAAAATAATAATAATAATAATAATAAATCCCTTATTTTGTCTTTTTGCTCTAAACAATGGGTCAAATACACTGCAAAAAAATGCTTTTCTTACATGGAGTTTTTGTCTTGATTCCAGTTTAAAAATTCTTAATTCAAGAGACATTTTCTAGACAAGTAAAAAATACTGTCTTGTTTTAAGAAATAATATGTCAAAATTTTGTGAGTTTTTCCTTAAAACAAGCAAAATAATCTGCCAATGGGGTAAGCAAAATAATCTTGTTTTTCCTTCTGGCATTAGATTATTTTTCTTACCCCATTGGCAAATTATTTTGCTTGTTTTAAGAAAAAAATAATAATTTTGTCATGGTATTTCTTAAAATGAGAATATATGTTTTGCTTGTCTAGAAACTGCTTCTTGATTTAAGAATTTTTAGATATTTAGACTAGAAACCAGACAAAAAAATCTAAGCTAAAAAGCCTTTTTGCAGTGTGTGAAAACAACCGGGCAAACATTTTATTCAAATTTGAATTGTCAAAATACAGAACAGAATTTGCAATGTTTAAATATAATAAAAAATAAATATATGTCATTAGCTGCAATATTTACAAGCTGACATTTTTTTGCATTTAATGTGGATAAGTACATTGTTTTGCTAAGACAATTGGCAAAATGTTTGTGATTTTATTGCAAAGAATATTGATGATCATATCATATTGATCATCATTAATCATTCAACACTGATAAACACTTTGATGCATGCTGTTATGCTATTTTATTGTTAGTTCAGGTAAAGAAAACTAATTATGTGAATAAATGAAACCATACTGTAAAGTGCACAAACTAAAGTGTGTTCAAGCTGCAAGTCGACGGTTAAACCACTAATCAACTCATCTATATCAACATGAATCGCTGTTACATGAATACAATTAGTTTGACGTCATGTCATTGAACGCTGAAGTGATCAAAAAACGTGAGCTTCTAAAAATAAATGCGCGTTTGTGTTGCTTCACTTTGGCTTCTCGTGCTGTGTTGCATCGCCATTACATGTTTAAGCTGACCAGACGCACAAACCTTGTTCACTATTAACTGCTGCTCCTAAAGGCTGTGACCTTTCGCCCAGATCCGGACTCTTCAGTTCAGCAAGTTTACAGTGACACCGCTGACTCCCAGCACACGCCCACCGGCAGCCACGCACCCCCGCTCCACCAATCGCGCGCCAATCACGCACTGATCACGCGTCGGCCTTCACACCATTGGTCAAGGTCTCACACACATTTGTTTTTCATTGGTGGCGTGTTGCCACCCGCCAGACTGTTGTGAATTTTGTTTTCTATTTTTTTCTGGAGCTTGTTTTACTCAGCTGCTGGTAAAGGCGCACTGAATTCCGGCGTGAGTCGCGTCACCGAGCGGGCGGAGCAGCTCTGTGTCTTTGTTCTGCTCTACTTTTCATTTAAGAATTTTTTCTTACGTTCTGATCAATGTCAACACGCCAGTTTACGAACATGGAAGAAATATGCAAGGTAAGCGCGGAATATTTAAGTATGTAAGATTTATATTAGTGTAAAACTGTAATATTTGTGAAATGGCTTGCTTACAGTTAGCTGACACTGGCTGGGCATTGTTTATTATGTTTTACTGGTACTGAGACGCATGACGTCAACTCTCACTTAAATATTACATTGTAACTACGTTATTTATCTCCGCATCATGAAATTTAACATTGTATCGAGTTGTTGTAAACTTCTGCAAACATGAAGCTGTTCGCTCTAACTCATTAGAGTTGACTTATAATAATATTACCTTTGGTATAATATATTGTTATGTGTTATACAATCATAAACAATGATTTTAAGGATTTACCGGCATCGTCTCATTTAACCTTTAATTTAAATGAAAGCAAGTATTTATTGTGGAACACTTATTTTCTTGTTTTGAATGAACATATACGCGTGTAAGTTAAATTAAGTTCAGATGCAAAAAACCTTAAGTGCCATCTGGAATTTTCTTCTACAATGAGCATTTTTCTCAGCCTTTTATGTTTATGTTTAGTTATTTTATGTTAAACGCGATGAAAAAATCTATCCTGTGCCATAAAAGAGAAGTTACTGAATCGAGACAAAGGAACCTAAGGAAATTGGTAAAATTAGAAGTAAATTTCAGATGGCACTTAGAGGTTTTTGCATCTAAACTGATCATAAATATAAATAATATATAATATTTGGTGCACAAAAGTCACATTTTACATTATTTGCACTTTTATGTTACATCAATGCATTAAATTATGTGAAGCACTGCATATGCACACTGTATAGAAGTCAATCACGTGTACAGAACCTTATTGACCCTGCTGTAAAAAAAAAAGTGGATGCTGCTCGCTAATGGTGTTATTTCTGAAGAGCAGTGGATGGGAGGGGCGTCACTTTCAGTCAAAGTTTTCTGGCCTCTGGCAGTTTTGAGCAGTTCCCGTGTCTATCAGGGGGTTTCAAGTTTTGCTCACAGCCATTTCGCATGGCCAGCTTGTGAGCACGTCATTGTTTTGGCTTTATTTGGCAGTGGGAGGTGACTTGAGCGTAGTGAGAGAGGGTCCCTCCAGACAGGCTGCATTAAAAAGGGCTCCTCTGTTGCACTGTCATACTGCTTCTGGATCCATGAATAGATAAAGACAGAGAAAGACTCATTCAGATCCACCCAGCAGCTGAGCTGTATGTCTCACAACAACCAGAAGACTTCCTTTCACCCTTAATAAAAAACGTTACTTGATTATTTTTTTTATTTTTTGTGGTTCTCAGGGAGCTCGGATGGAGGTCTGTGAAGATTTTTTAGACGTGAAGAAGAACAGTGAATACTCTTCATGCAGTGCTCTGGAATACAATGATCTTGAGGCTGCTGAAGCCCTGGTTTACATGAGCTTCTGGAGTCAGATGTCTCCAAAACCCAACGTCTTCAAACCTCGTCCTCTCACGCCAGCGTCAGACTCCTGTGATTCCCTCCTGCACCCTGAACCACCAGAAACCCCAAAGGATTTCGTCTCGCTCTCTTCCCTGGTAAGTCTGCTAGAAGATAAATTATGTTCACTTCAAGCTCTGTTTAATTTGTCAACATTCACACCGGCGAACCTCACACTGCTTTGGCGCCACACGGTGTAACTCAAAGCTCTTATCAGAACCTGATTTGTTTGCTGAAAACTTTGGGAGGGTTTTATGGCACCCTGGACAGGTGGCAGTCTTGAGATAAGCTACATCTGCAAATTGAACTTCAGCACAGGCTTCTTCACTGTAATTGCATGGCTTACCTTGTGCCATAATGATGCTGAGAGATGAACGGACAAAACGGAACAGCTGTAAAGCCAGCAGGCACCGAGAAATTCCACAGGTTGATTTAGTTATTTGCCAAAGACCTTGATTTTTAGGCATGTACGAGTATTAAATTGGATTTCTTAAGTAAATTAGAAAAAATATCATTAAATGTACGACATATGCTAAATATTGCATTTAACATTGTTGTTTAGTTATTTATGTTTTTTATTATTTAAGTGGAAAAATATATAATAAAAAAAAGGAATTTAATCTAGTATAAATCATAACAATTTAGAGATCGCAACATTCCAAAATGATCAGATTATTGGCCAATTTATTACTGGGGCATTGTGATAGATAGACAGATAGACAGATAGATAGACAGACAGACAGACAGACAGACAGACAGACAGACAGACAGACAATATTGTACAAGTACTATACGCACATCCTAACAATAATTGTCCTCTTTACCTGCAGTGCATGACCCCACCTCACAGTCCCAGCTTTACTGAGACCTCCAACATCACATCAGTGCCAGCTTCTCCCTCCCCACTTACCCGGCCCTGCCCCAGCCTCCCCAGCCCCCAGAGATCTGCATGCCCCACCATGGCCTCCATCACTCAGGTGCCCTCCTCCGGACATCCCACAGAAAGGACCACACCCCCACCCTGCAGAGCCATGGCAACCAGCGTAATCCGCCATACGGCCGACAGCTTCCTTTACCAGAACATTCCACAAGCTGTCCAGCCACAAAAGACTGAGAAAGCTCCCTCATCACCTAGCTTGTGCCACCAGCCCCTCATAGACACCACAACAGCATGTCAAAGCAGCAGATCTCCTTCAAAGGAGGAAAAGCTTTTCATTACATCCTCAACTCCTCATTCGCCACCTCCAACCTCTAGCCCACCAATCATATGCCAGATGTTTCCCATGGCCCAACCTGGAGTCATTTCAGCCACGTTTATTCAGAAGCCCAGCCCTGGGGTGAAGTCTATCCTACCACAGCCGCTCCTGATGAGCTCTCCGGTGCCTCAGGGGACAGTGATGTTTGTGATGCCCCAGTCGCCAGTATCTTCAACTCAACAGTGCCAGCAGACTGTTATGACCCTAGGCAACACCAAGCTCCTGCCTCTGGCTCCCGCTCCTGTTTACGTGCCCTCAGGGCAGAGCAGCGCCACACAGGTCGACTTTTCCCGCAGGCGCAACTATGTCTGCAATTTCCCAGGCTGTCGGAAAACTTATTTTAAAAGTTCTCACCTGAAGGCACATCTCAGAACCCATACAGGTAAATATAGACCTCAACCTCTAAAGCAAGGGTCACCAACTCTGCTTTTGGAAAGCTACAGTCCTAAAAAATTCAGCTCAAACTGATAGTTGGAGTTGGATTTAAAAAGTGTGCAGAACGGTAGCTCTCCAAAATGAGATCTTTGCTCTTACGTCTTGGTAAAGTCGGTTATCTAACATGTCTTCTAATATGTCTTCCAGGAGAGAAACCTTTCAGCTGCAATTGGGAAGGCTGCGATAAGAAATTTGCACGCTCTGATGAGCTCTCTCGGCATCGGCGAACACACACAGGTGAGAAGAAGTTTGTCTGTCCGGTGTGTGAACGACGATTTATGCGCAGCGACCATCTCACCAAGCACGCACGTCGACACATGACCACCAAGAAGATCCCATCTTGGCAAACAGAGGTGCGGAACCTCAACAAGATCACCGCAGCCAAGACTTTGCCTACTGGCACAGCACTGCCAGTCAGCATGTTGCTGCCAGCCTCAAACTGACTCTGATGGAGACTGAACTTTCAGAGATGATATGCAAGGACTCATTTTATGACTGCTGAATCTCTCGTGAGCAAAAAAATCGATTTATGCACTGGACTCCTGTCTTTTTTGCTGCACATATTTCGCACTCTGCAATGGAACATTTTGTTTACTATTGTGTAAAAGATTTATGCACTCTTTTGCCAAAGTCTTTGTACTATGTTTGTCTTAAAAATATTCCTTTTTCTTCTCTTTTGTATACCTTTATATGTACAGATCTAGCTGAAATATCTAGTGGGGCTACACACAATTAGAAAAAGGAAAATATGTAAAAATGTATATGTGGATAATTATCTACACTGTGATTATCATATAGAACTTTTATTTAATACATTTTTTTATTAAACAATGAAGATTAAGTGTGTTTTGAGTGTTGTTTTTATACTTAAAAGCTTATAGAAAAAGAAGTCCTAAATCCGCAGCTCCTAAAATATTCAGCAGTTTCATTGATGTGGGTTTGGGCCGGAGTGTTTTAGCTGTACTTCAGTTCTTCTGCTTGCTGCTCTTGGCAGTAAATGAACTTACATTCTCACATTGCTGACACACCCATGATGCACCCACTTCCTGTTGGATTCGTAAGAGTCCTGGATCTTTTGTTTCGGGCATCTATCCATTATCTCAACAGCAAGCTAACACAGGCCATTAGATCATAGGAATAGTAAAAACATCATAACATTACTTTTTGTTTATAAGACACTCAACTAAATGAATAGATCATTTATTGTTAAGGCAGGTTAAGTAGATTCAGCTGACATGTTTGATTAATTCTCCTAGACTTTGGGTAAATGTTGTTTTGTGTAACTTTAGTATATGTCAGCATAAAGACTTTGATTCATCCTTAAAGATCATTCACTTGCCAAACACATGGAGTTTCAGCGAGGAAAAACAACCCAGCTTATATTAGTTTTGGACATGACACAGCAAAATTACGAGAGAAAAAAAAGGTTGTTTTGTTCATAGCTTACCACTGGCTGATAATAAACGGCGTGCTTTCCAGTAATACAAATGCTCCCACAGAGATTGAGACCGGATGTCTGTTATTACTGTTCATAGCTCACGCCACAGTCACATTTTTAAAATGGAAAAGTATGCAGTTGTGTGCTCCATTACTCAATTAAATCAAGGACCAATCCGTTTGCAAGACTAACTGTAGTGGTGGGAGGCGCGACCAATCAGCTTTCAGATCGGTGCCCCGCCTCCTGCCTTACTGACCGACTTTCCCCAACTGTGAAAACGCCATGATCGATCGTCCATCAATGTAGCAACAGCGACACCGTGTGTTTAACATCACTTTTTCTTTAGCTTAGATGAGTGAAAATGTAATATTCAATTAATTCTTTGAGCCAAGTTATTTAATTGTTAAAAAATAAGACATGAATGGATTAATAAATTATATAAAACAGGATAAAATAGAAAACAAACCAAACCGAACAGTCTTCAATTTTGTGAATTTTTTTTTACGTTTGTTCGGTGAGTTCATAAACATATCAATAGTTTATATTTAACAATTCAACAAGTCTAGTTCCCACATAATGGAGATAGTATAATGTTTTCATAAAAATTGTTTAACTTTACGTACTGAATTGTCATCTCAGAAAAAAAATACACTTAGAGTATCAATGTTGACAAAACAATCCTATTTTTCACACATGTAGTTCACATTTTTCTGGTGTTCCTATAAACTCAGTGACAAAATGTCTGGAGAAAGGTGAAATGCAGAACAGCATCTGTTTGTATGATTTTCATTGTGTGCCTCAAAAGAAATTGTGTTCAGCAAGATGGAGGCTATTTAATCTGGCAAACATACATCAGGGTGGTTCAGTATAGTCAGGGGGCCTCCATGAAACCACCAAAACTGCTGATGTGCATTCTTGTCATAGACGGTTGGAGGATTTTGGAAATGTGGTCAGGAAATGGAACTAAATTATCCACTTCATATGTTTTTCTCTCAGGAAGCTGTTTTACAGCATATAAAAAAGTCTGAAAAGTCAAACTTTTATTCCTTTCTTTCTTTATTAAAATAATCATTTAAATTCCATCCTGAACTTTGATGGATGAACAGTTAAGGCACAGACGTCTATAACAAAATTTCATAAAACACATAAATACTTGAATATCTATGCCTCAAAATATAAAAAAAATACAAATAATAATAATAATAATAATGTGTTGTACTGATAAGCAAGTAATTGTTTTCATAAATCTGAAAAAAAAAAAACCATAATGTGTTGTACTGATACATCAATAATTATTTTCAAAAATCATTTTTTGTTTGTGTCTCAGAAGATTAGCATGTCCATTAACTAAAATCCCTCTCAATTGTGTTCATGAGGTCCTCTTCTGAAGCATCATAGATGATAGGAAATGACTGAAACGAGCCACCATCAATTCCATAACCTCTATTAAAAAAGAAAAGATAATTTCAGAATTAATACAGGGGTTTTATCTTTTTAAGAGACATCTACAATCATTATATGCTAATTTATTTATTGTTAAATATAGTTAGCACATCAATATGTATTTTCTTCTAATTAACCACTACAAAAGATGTTATTACTGCAGCTTTTATTACTTTTCAATACACATTTAATGTCATTAAATGATCAAATGTATCATAAAATTCCTTGTCATATTTCTTTTAATTAACCACTCAAAATAAATGAAAATGTATGCATATAAAAATGTTTAATAATAAAACATGGGCGTCACGGTGCCGCAGTGGGTAACACAATTGCCTCACAGTAGGAAGGTCACTGGTTCGAGCCTTGGCTGGGCATTTCTGTGTGGAGTTTGCATGTTCTCCCTGTGTTGGTGTCGATTTCCTACGGGTGCTCCGGTTTTCTCCACAAGGCCAAAGACATGCACTATAGTTGGAATGGGTGAGCTGAAATTGTCCGTAATGTGTGTGTGTGTGTGAATGAGTGTGTATGGATGTTTCCCAGAGATGGGTTGCAGCTGGAATCCGCTGCATAAAACATATGCTGGAAAAGATGATGGTTCCTTCCGCTGTGGTGACCCCAGATTAATAAAGGGACTAAGCCAAAAAGAAAATGAATGAATGAATAATAAAACATCTAAAATCCTGAATAAAGTGTATCTTAAAACAAATAAATATTTTTGAAGGGATAGCCCGCCAAAAAATTTATACATAAATCAAATTCTATTAATAATTATATAAATAATATATTTATATATTTTGGAGGCTACCTAAAATTGTTATGCTTCCTTGTGAGATCAGGCTGGACTGGACTATGAGGTTTTTTTATTTTTGAGAATACTTTTGTGCGCATTTAAAAACAACACAAATGATGATTAACGCAGCAGAGGCTGAGTTAGTTTTTTCTCAGTGTCAGTATAGGGCGCATGTTCACAAGCTCTGTGCACTGATATACAGTTGAAGTCAGAATTATTAGCCCCTCTCAATTATTAGCACTGCCTGTTTATTTTTTCCCCAATTTCTATTTAATGGAGAGAAGATTATTTTCAACACATTTCTAAACATAATAGTTTTAATAACTTATTTCTAATAACTGATTTATTTTATCTTTGCCATGATGACAGTAAATAATATTTTATTAGATATTTTTCAAGACACTTCTACACAGCTTTAAGTGACATTTAAAGGCTTAACTAGGCTAATTAGGTAAATTAGGTAGGACAGGTTAAGGTAATTAGGCAAGTTACTGTATAAAAATGGTTTGTTCTGTAGACTATGGAAAAAATATATAGCTTAAAGCAGGGGTCACCAATCCTGGTCCTGGAGGGCCGGTGTCCCTGCAGGGTTTAGCTCTATCTTGCCTCAACACACCTGCCTGGATGTTTCAAGTATACCCAGTAAGACCTTGATTAGCTTGTTCAGGTGTGTTTGATTAGGGTTGGAACTAAAATCTGCAGGACACCGGCCCTCCAGGAACAAGTTTGGTGATCACTGGCTTAAAGGGACTGATAATATTGACCTTTTATTCTAGCAGAAATAAAACAAATTAGACTTTCTCCAGAAAAAAAAATATTATCAGATATACTGTGTAAATGTCCTAGCTCTGTTAAAAATCGTTTGGGAAATATTAAAAAAGAAAAAGAAATTCAAAGGGGGGCTAATAATTCTGACTTCAACGGTATCCCAGATGCCTGTTGAATAATGTCATTATTACATGTTGCTGTGTGCGCACACAAACGTTTTCTTTTAGCTTGATAATATTGTGATTTAACCACTGAAGGCATGTGGTCTGTTTTGAGGATTTTTTGGTATTTTTATCTCAATGAGTTTGCAACTTTGCTGTCTATGAAGGACGAGGAAACTCTCTGGGTTACAGTAAAATATATATATTTTTGTTGTTCTAAAGATGAACTAAGGTTGTGGGGGGCTGAAATGACATGAGGGTGATAAAGAAAAGTGAGAATACAAAGATTTTCACTTTCAGTCAACTTCTGAAAATTATCAAATACATTGCTAGACAGTAAAAGACCATAGAATATCATAGTTAAAGTTATGATTACTTTTTTTTTAATATGAATAAATCTTAAATCAATAAATAGTAAAACATAAAATGCACAAATGAAATACATCACTATTTATTCAAGATCAACATTTTAGTTAACATTGCACACCAGTTCTCTGAACGGAACACTGCACTAGACACAACCTAACTGCTTTCAGTGGAAATGATGTGTGTCACTAAGTTGAGATCAATAATTGATGAAATACACTTACTGTGCTGTTGCTGGGCTCTCTGGGTTGGCACAACTCATCTCCTTAGGAGGCCTGACCTGTTCAGAAATCCAGGAAATAGATAGGGATTACTTTCTTAATGACTTAATAGTTTCGAGCCCATTAATTATTCAGTTCACTCAATTGTCAACCGTTGAGTCACTGGTCATGTGGGAAAAAAGATAAGATTTTATTTTCTAGAGAAGTAAAATGTTAAAAGCAACATCAGTCCTACCTTTTCATGAACGTTTGAGGTTGGTTTGTTCACTGGGTTCACTTTATTTTTCTCATGTGTTCTCCTGCCACTGTAAACCTGGTCGTCGACCTGTATTTTGGCATTGTAAAGCCCAGTTGTCTTTGGCATCTTATGGGACGTCCTGTTCAGCGTCAGGTCACACTCTGCGAGGATTCTGTCCATTTCATCCCCGAGGTCTTCGGCTGAAAACTCAGAGTCCTGCCCTTCACTGTTACAATCCGACTGGACTCTTCTCCTGACGGAAAAGCGCCGTTCTGAAGTTTGTCTGTTTGACGGACCAAACAAACGACTTCCATCCCACTGACTCTCGCTGATGCTGGGGTCCTCTCTCTCTTTATCTGTCACAGGTGCGACTTTTTTCATCCTGCTTTTTACTGTGCCCATATTTCAGATAA